CGCCTATCAAGTCTTGTCCCGCGCCGCACTCTGTTGCGTCGGGTCTCGCGGGAGCAGGTCTCAATCCACTGGCACTTGACTCGACAATGCGTGTGCTACATCCTTTTTACAATCTCTAGATTATAACACACTGAATTCTGTCAGCAATGTAACGCGGCAGTAACGTATAGAGACCTCGGCTTGTAACTATACTCTAATTACTATTTTGAAAATTATAATTCGTTAAATTACTCCGTTACTAAACAAATAATCTAATTACAGTAACGCGTTACTAAGTAATGCGTTACTGCTCAACAGTAGAGATAGCAGTACATTTGTTTCTCAGGTTCAATCCTCCTCCACAGATCACAGGTAACAAAACCTATTTCATTACACTAGTTAGCTTACCTCGTTCTGGTAGCAGGTGTACCAGAACGCTCTCTCCCTTTTGTTTGGATTGGGTAAGCCACAAGATTATCCCTTAAAACATGACTAACAAGCTATATGTAGTGTTTATGTCACAAACGCCACATGAATGCCCGTGTGAGACACAGGTTGTCATGTGCGAATGACAGTGATAAGTCGGCTTGCTATTGTTTTATGTTGAATGTGTGTGGGTATCAGTGCTGTGAGTCAGGCCCCGTTCGTCTTTGAGACTGTGCATCTGAACATGAGGAGGTTGTGGCGTGTGAGAGAGGCCATATCAGCGCACAGCATCTGCTCAATGAGAGCTCTGTGTGAATTCACCCTCCATGCTGTGGACGTCTGGCATGCTCTCTTTTAACCTGTTCTCTCCCTCCCTGAAAATCCTGTGCTTATTTTGGAAATGCCTGGAGGAATAGAGAAGGAAGAGTGAGCTTGTTTGAAAGCAGGTAAAAGATTGAGAGAAAATGACAGTGTTTTAAAGTGGAAATGTCTCCGGTGTCCCCTAGACCCTGCCCTCCTTACGGTAGGCAGGTTTAAGACTGCATCCCTAAACAGAGCGACAGGAATGATGTAATTCTTTGCAGCCTTTGCTCTGCTAATTTCAATAGGGTCATTTTAAACACTCCGTTAACATAATTGTGGGCTTGTTTCATGTTTCACACGCTGGGTTAGTAATTAATTTGGACTAATCAGGTTTTCTTATTTCACGCTGTATGTTTGTAAAGCCTGGGTTAATGGTCTCATTTGCATATTTACAAGGTTAATAACACTGATTGGATAAGTACAGCACGTAGCGAGCGTGTGACCAGTTTTAATAACAGCTTGAACATCTGGGTAAAAGTCAACATGTAAATCTCCTCTGCTTGTCTTATATGTTCTTAAAAATACTTAGAAGAAAAAACTGAATGAAAATGCAGAGGAGCGTTTGCCATCACTTTTCAGTTTTTTTTCTCCCTTAGACACTAAACACAATGTGAGAAAGTTGTACAAGTGATGTATGAATATCTAATGAAGTAAGCACTGGAGAAGGTTATGATATTGCCTGTTGTTAAATAACTCCAGCACTGCAGTGTTTTACACTCTATACCAGGGGCTTTCAAAATGAAAGAGAGCCATAAACAATTAAAATATTACATAGATATTTATATATATATATAAATTTTGTTTAAATGTTTTTATTTAATAATTTATTTAATAGTAACCACATGAATTACTCATGACTTTGAACTTATAAAGCCATAGATAAACATAATAATAATAATAATGTAATAATGTAAGTGAAAAATTTCCCCAAAAATATTTTACACATTTATATTATTACATAATACAAAATTTTCACAGTATAAATTGGGTCTTTTTACATTAAAATAGCTGCCTTTAAAATTTAAAGATGGGGTTCCTCACAAAAGAATTATCATGTTTGGGGGTCTGTGGCATTGAAAAGGTTGAAACCCCCTGCTTTATAACTTTAATACTGCAATAGGGCATTAGCATACAGTATCAAAACTGTTCTGAAACAGGCACTAGTAACCCATGATTAAAAGTGCTGCTAACGCTTTTTCAAAATTACAGGTTTAAAACATTGCTTAAAAGTGCTTTACCTGGACTTAATAAATACACTTGCTCAAGGTTAATACTAGTGTGGAAAGCCTGTTATTCAACTCTCCCTGTTATTGGAGGTCCATCATAATAACATAGTTGTGCCAAAATAGTATGATTAGTTGTGCCAAAATAATATTATTACTTATTTGAATTAGAATGTAGAGTCTGAAACTGTTAAGATGCTCTTTTCTATTGATCGTGTCGTGTGTGTGGGGAGAGAGAGAGACGTATATCAGCAGGGGGCAGTATTGGTACAGTCAGAAACGAAACCTTTGCTCTCATGTCCTATTTAGACAGACTGAAAAACACATGTACACAAAAGAATGTAATACCCATTTCTCTTTTCTCCTCAGATCGCTTTCTCTCAACACAGTAACTTCATGGATTTGGTTCAGTTCTTTGTCACGTTCTTCAGGTAAGATGAGCACATGAGTCTTCGATGAACTTCTAAAGCCACAGATATTCTCAAAAACCCATTTCAATCTAAATACTGTACATTTTTTAATGGAACTCATTGGGTTGGACTATGTTCGGGGTGTGATATGGCTCTAAGCTCTAATTCACCTCTGGAAGACCTGCTGTAATATGTTATTGATTTAGGAAGCAGGTGGCGTAGACCATATATAGCAAACTCACCCCGTCACGTACACACATTCTCACACATTCTGCCATGTCGCTTGTTATACTCCCTACTGGTTCCCAAACAGCAAAAGGGTGATTAAAATATGATAATCACTCAGATGTGGTCATGCATCATGGCTAAGACACATGTGAAACATACACACACGTAACATACTTACACCCAACTGTAGCTGTGGTCGGCCATGGTTCTTCATCATTAGTTATGTCAGCTCAGCCATGATAAATTACACCAACTCTTCATAGCCTTGGTGTGTGCGTATGTGTGTGGGTGAGCTATCCCCAAATCCCAGATCGAATGTGTTTCAGCTCTGCGCACACCTGCACTTATAAGGTATAAACATGCACCTACACATTTATGATTCTGTCACATGCAGCCCAGTTCTCCTATACACGAGAGGCGCATTCATGAGCTTTGGCCCCGTTACCATGAGGATACCAACACTCCTGATCTTTAGCACACCTGCGGCTGTGAAACTATCTCTAATCCATTAAACATGAACAGCCCCGTGTGTGTGCTTGAGATGTGATCTTGACAAGACTGTGGAAGTGGAATGTGATTCTTTCATTGTTTTCCATAAACATAGAACTTCCAAAAACGTTAATGATTGTCCTCTTCCTTTCTATTTCCTGTTTTGTCTTGTGTGTGTGTGTAGCTGTTTCCTGTCCTTGCTTCTGGTGGCAGCAGTCGTATGGAAGATAAAACAGAGCTGCTGGGCGTCACGGCGCAGAGAGGTCAGTGCTGTAGCATTTCCCTTGTTACCTGTGGAATTGCATTGACTTTCCCTGTCACATGATGCTCTACACAGCTTTGAACCATCCTATTAATGTCACATCAGCATCTTCAAATGCTGTCAGTCAGGCTGGACAGATCCATCCATTAGGCTGTTTTTGGACAATTCCACTAGAGGTTGACCAATATATCTTTATATTTAATTTTTATTATTCAATATATATATTTTTGTATGTTTGTTTTAAATGGACGTTGATAATATCAGTAACACTTTACTTAAAGCCTTTATCTATCATGCATTATAAAAGGAGTTTAATGCATTAATTATGCCTTTTAATACTCCTTATAATGCATTGTACAATCTAATAATTGTAAACACATTTAATACCTTATAACACAATGTATATATATATATATATA